TGTTCACTTACCAAAGGAGCAACGGAACAAGCTCGAACCTCGCGCCCTCAAGTGTATTTTTGTCGGGTATGCCTCATCCCAAAAAGGTTACCGGTGTTATCATCCCCCCACACAAAAAATGTTTGTCACTATGGATGTGACATTTCATGAAGATACTATGTACTTTGAATGGGCTGAACTTCAGGGGGACCATTATAAGGAAGTTCAGTTATTTGGAAATACTAGTGAGGAAGAGATATGCTCAATAGAAGTGCTCCCGATGTTGACTTCAAGCCCAACACCAGCAATCGAGACAATCAAAGTAACACCAGTTCCTGATAATGTAACAGCAACAACCCTGCCGAATGAAGTTGTGCATGCAACAGCAACAACCTTGCCGAATGAAGTTGTGCAGCCCCCGCCTAAATTGAATAACCAATCGTCCACTTCAGATATCCCTGAAACTGAGTCCTCCCGGGTATCATCTTCTATTCCCAGAAAACAACTTCCCAACCGAGCAAATAGAGGTGTACCCAAATCCACATATGATCCAGAACTTACAAGTAAAGCCAAATATCCTATGAGTAATTATGTGTCTTATTATCAGTTAACTGCATCTAACAAATCCTTTGTGAATCAATTATCCTCTGTATCTATTCCTAACAGTGTGCAGGAAGCTGTATGTAATCCAAAATGGAAATCAGCAATGGACGAGGAGATGAATATTCCTAACAGTGTGCAGGAAGCTGTATGTAATCCAAAATGGAAATCAGCAATGGACGAGGAGATGAATTAATTATTAAAAAATGACACATGAGGATTAACCGAGTTAACAGCAGGAAAGAAGAGGGTGGGATGCAAATGAGTATACACTGTGAAATTCAAAGCAGATGGAACAATTGAAAGATTCAAAGCGAGATTAGTTGCAAAAGGCTACACACAGACACACAGGATTGATTATCTGGAGACATTCGCACCCGTGGCAAAGATTAATATCGTGCAGATGTTACTCTCATTAGCTGCTAATTTGGACTGGCCTCTACAACAATTCGATGTAAAAAACGCTTTCCTACATGGAGAGTTAGAGGAGGAGGTGTATATGGAGTTCCCACTTGGATATAAGATCCCGATTGAGCATATAAATAAAGTCTGCAAGTTAAAAAAATCCTTGTATGGACTAAAGCAATCCCCCAGAGCCTGGTTTGGGAGATTCACGAGATCGATGCGAAAGTTCGGGTACAGTCAAAGTAATTCAGATCATACTTTGTTTTTGAAAAAGAGTTATGGGAAGATTACGGCACTTATCGTCTATGTCGATGACATGGTCCTCACAGGAAACGACCCTCATGAACAGCATGTATTGAAGAAGCACCTATCTCAGGAGTTCGAAATGAAAGACCTTGGGGACTTGAAGTATTTTCTGGGTATCGAGGTGTCTAGGTGATCGAAAGGCATCTTCCTATCTCAGAGGAAATATACCCTAGATTTGCTAAATGAAACTGGGATGTCTGCTTGTCAACCATCAGAAACTCCAATGGAAGAAGGAGTGAAGTTAGAAGTTAAAACAAAACAAGTGCCCGTTGATAAAGGGCGCTATCAGAGATTGGTGGGAAAATTGATGTATCTGGCACATACAAGGCCTGATATATCATATGCATTGAGTACCGTCAGTCAGTTCATGCATAATCCAGGGGAGAAGCATATACAGGCAGTTATGAAGATCATCAGCTATCTTAAGGCAGCCCCTGGAAAAGGAATCTTGTTTCAAAGGAATGAAGACTTCCTAAAGGTTGAAGGATATACTGATGCTGATTGGGCGGGAAATATATGTGACCGAAGGTCTACATCAAGGTACTTCACATTTGTGTGGGAAACTTGGTCACTTGGAGGAGTAAGAAGCAAAATATGGTATCCCGATCAAGCGCAGAAGCAGAATATCGAGGAATGGCAATCGATATCCAAGAGTTATTGTGATTGAAATTACTACAGACAGATCTAGTTTTCCCTCCAAAAGAACCTATGATACTATACTGTGATAACAAATCAGCATGCGATATCGCACATAATCCAGTTCAGCATGATAGGACAAAGCATGTAGAAGTAGACAGGCTCTTCATCAAAGAAAAGTTAGAAGAGAAAGTCATTTATGTCCCTCATGTACGCTCGGAAGATCAGCTGACTGACATACTCACCAAGGCAGTAACGAGGAAGATATTTGCCAAGTTAATTAGCAAGTTGGGCATGTTTGATATATTTGTGCCAACTTGAGGGGAAGTATTAGAATATATGGTATTAGAATATATGGTATAGATATATATATAGTATAGATATATATGGTATAGTTATGATTCCTGGAATCATGGTATATTAGTATTACTTACTTGTATAGCTCCTTCTCTCTCTATATAAGGACCATTGTATTCTTTCATTGGATTAAGAAAATAACATAATCTTTTATTCCTTCTCTATACTAATCAACACTAAACACTAGGATATATACTGGTTCCACCTCTCCAATGTACATCCAGTCCCCAAACAAATCCTGCTTGAGATTTTCACTATGATTTTAAATCGAGTACAAAATCAAAACCAAACCTGACCAATTTGCAAGACCATGCAAATTGCAACTCCAATTGATAAGACCATGCCAATTGCAACCAACCTCTTAAACCAAGTAATCAACTCTCTCAAACCCGAGAGAAACCTTCTTTGAATCAAAGTACAAAACTCCTATAAGCCTTGATATGATTGTGAAGTGCAGTAGTGGCTTATGAACCTTTTAAACTCTCTGAAATTTGCCTAATCCACTTATATGAATGATGAAGAACATATGTTGTTTCAGAAACTCTCTTTTCTGGAAATTTAGACTGAAATTCTAAAAACAAGAGAGTGAACTTTGCACAAAAATTGAATTTTATATGTGCTTAATTTCGTTGTTGTTTTCTGATGTTTTAACCTATTTATAGCCTCACAAAAATTGAATTTTATATGTGCTTAATTTCGTTGTTGTTTTCTGATGTTTTAACCTATTTATAGCCTTTGAAATGACACAAATTTAAAGTGCTTAATTTCGTTGTTGTTTTCTGATGTTTTAACCTATTTATAGCCTTTGAAATGACACAAATTTAAAACACAATTAACGTCCAAAAACGGCTATAAAACAGTCACTTATTTAAATTCTGAAAAACTAAAAAACTGTATATGTAGTCGACTACAAGGCTTAGTAGTCGACTACACTGAGTCTAAACAAACTTTGTGAAGTCAGAATATTGCTTAGTAGTCGACTACTAAGGGGAATAGTCGACTACACTGTACATGTGTAGTTTCTGTGAAGTCAAGAAACTGTCTTACTAGTAAACTACTAAGCTTAGTAGTCGACTGCTAAGAAAATATATGTAGTTTCTGGATATTTGACTGAGGCTTAGTAGTAGACTACTAAGGAGATTAGTCTACTACTAACACATAGATATGAGATATATGATATGTTTTGAGACTCACTCTATATCTATGAATTCTAATGGTTAACTTAGGGGATTTCTATAATTAACCACACACTAAGCATGTGTTAGTGTGTTCTAATACTATGTGTGTGTATGTGTTGTGAGTAATCAAAGCTTGTACATAAATTCTAAGCAAAGAAAATATAAAAATTACATTTTGACATATACGCGTATCTTCTTCTTTGCTTCATGTTGCCTTGAACTCATCTTATGTCTTGAGTATCTCTTTGAATATTATTGTTGATTTTGCTCTGATACTGCAAAACAAATGTTAGCACATAATACACACAACATATAATATTTGTTATCATCAAAACAAACATATCTTGGGGTCAAGATATCCAACAAAAACCAGTTGAGCTAATCACGCACAGTTGAAAAAAAGTGAAAATGATCAAGTATTACCTTCTAAGAGGCACCCAAGTTTGACTCTAAACATTTTCAATTAAGAATTGAAGATGCAACCATAGTTTCTTTCTATACATATAATTAATCAGACCGTGGTAAACTATTACCTCTCTCATCCATCCTCCTAAAAACTGGAGCATGAAAATAAAAACATGTGACTCGAGCCTCTCTCTCTTTGTTTTAAAAAAAACACAAGCAAGACAAATAACCTTCACAAATCAATCACTATAATTTACCTTCAAAAGATGATCTCAAAGTATGATTCCTGAGAAATTTAGCAAAGAAAGGAAAGATTCTTGAGTTTTAAGACCTCATATTTAGTACGTGGTAAAAAAAAAATCTCCAATGCCGCCGGCATTACGGCAGGAGTCAATTTATGTCATTTTGATGATGCTATACAAAGACTTGCTACGACTTGTAACCCCCTCTCTCTCGCTCTTGATGGCAAAGATCTTTTCAACCAGTCATATCGACTTTTAGCTGGCAAAGCTCTCAACCGGTGCACAACTCTAATGGTCGGCAAAGAAAATGAAGTTCTGGCTCCTTGTATTACTAAATCAAACATTATCAATGCCAGCGTAAAGTTCCCTTATGGAGATAGACTTCGAGATGCGCATCCTGCAATCAGGAATTTTCCAACAATTTTGATATCCACAAGCCTGAGAGCAGAGGAGGAGGAAAATCTGAGGTCCCTGATCAACTGTCAATGTACACCAACCAGAGACCCTGATTTCAAGTCAACTTAGGCAAGAAACACAAAAATGCATAAAGCATACTACGTGTTTCAAAGGATAAATTCACATAGATCGTTTTGAGCTTATTCTCTGTAGTTTCATTGTAATTGCAAACAGGCCCCTGGATTAAACCTTTTTTTGACTCTTTCACCCAGTGTGAAATTTGTAAGGCATAGCTCATGACGTACTGTCAATGTACACCAACCAGAGACCTCGATTTCAAGTAAACTTCTACTTGCACTCTATATATATATATCTCCTTGCATGCAAACCTTCCTTCACGATATCACTGTTGCATTCTTCTGCTAAAATGTTCACCAAATCGCCCTCTTTCTTACTATTTCTCCATTTTCTTCTAATCTCACTGAATGCAATAATAATGCTCTCCTCTGCAACTGATACAATCTTCCAAGGCCAATCCATATCTGGAAACCAAACCATAGTCTCCAAAGGAGGCATCTTTGAACTTGGCTTCTTCACCCCAGGCAAATCCAACAACTACTACATTGGCATCTGGTACAAAATATCGCCTGAAGTAACCATCTGGACAGCAAATAGGGCAGCTCCAGTACCCGACCCGACAACTTCCAAGCTGAAGGTAACCAAGACTGGCAATCTGATCCTCTACAACTCCAAAATCCGAGTTTGGTCATCCAACTCAAGTTCATATTTATCATCATCCACCAACATTAACGTCGCAATACTCCTTGATACCGGGAATTTTGTTCTCAGAGATCAAACAAACTCATCTGCTATACTCTGGCAAAGCTTCGATCACATAACTGACACCAGGGTACCTCATGGATGGATTGGAATGAATAAAGTCACCGGCGAGTACAATGCTATTACTCCATGGAAAAACACTGAGGACCCAGCTCCAGGACCTTTTTTGGATACTATAGACCCCAGTGGCCTCAACCAGTTTGTTTTCTTGTGGAACAATTCGAAGAGGTATTGGACTAGTGGCATCTGGAATGGAGAAACCTTCAGCTCATTCCCTGGAATGAGGGCGGACCATCGTTACACTTATAAGTTTGTCGATGATGATAAGCGCAGGTATTTCACTGTAAATTTCACTGATGAGCGATATTTGTCACGGAGCGTGATGCACTCTTCTGGTCAAGTTCAGCAGTGGATGTGGTATGGTGAAGCTAAAGGTTGGGAGCTGTTTTGGGTGCAGCCAGTCTCTCCTTGTGACGTGTATTCTGTTTGTGGAGCCTACGGTATTTGTGATCAATCGAGGAAACCCCCTTGCACCTGTCCACCTGGTTTCACACCAACTTCTGTTAGAGATTGGGAGCTTGATGGCTGGAGTTCAGGGTGCAAGAGGAAAACCCAGTTGAAGTGCGGTTACGAGAACTCGACTTCCGGAGAAAAAGATGGGTTTCTGCCAATACCCAATGTGCATTTACCTGCAGACTCAAAACAGCAGCTGGGAGGAAAAGGTGCTGAAGAATGTGAATTGGCTTGTTTGAAGAGTTGCTCATGTACTGCTTATGCTTATGAGAGTGGGTGTTCATTTTGGAGCGGAGACATTCGAAATCTTCAAAGTCTTTCTGAAGATGACAATGGGGCTGGTACTCTTTACCTGAGGCTTGCAGCTTCTGACCTGCCAAAAAAAACCGGTGAAATGAAATCAATCAGAAGGATTGCTGTAAGTGCAGCAATAGCAATAGTATTGTCAGCTACTATTGCTTTGATCTTGATATTCATTAGAAAAAGGCGTGGAGAATCAAAATCCCCCAAGGGTCCTTTGGTTTCATATAGTTACAGTGACTTGCAGCGCATAACGAAGAATTTCACTGAAAAGCTTGGCAGTGGGGGTTTTGGTTTGGTCTTTAAAGGACTTCTACCTGATTCAGATTTTGTAGCTGTGAAAAGACTTGAAGGGGTTCGACAAGGAGATAAGGAGTTCCGAAATGAGTTGGGAACGTTGGGAAGAATTCAGCATGTTAATCTAGTCCGTCTTCGTGGCTTCTGCTGTGAAGGAACCAAAAAGATGCTGGTCTATGATTACATGCCAAAAGGGTCTCTAGACAACCACCTCTTTCGAAAACAATCCACGACTTTAGATTGGAAGACAAGATACCAGATCATACTAGGAACTGCGAGGGGAATAGCGTATCTCCATGAAGAGTGTAGAGAATGCATTATCCACTGTGATGTAAAGCCAGAGAACATACTCTTAGATTCTGAGTTTTGTCCAAGGTTATCAGATTTTGGCATGGCAAAGCTCCTTGGCCATGATTTTAGCCGAGTACTAACAACAATGAGGGGAACCATAGGCTATCTAGCACCAGAATGGATCGAAGGGCTACCAATAACACCTAAAGCTGATGTCTATAGCTATGGTATGATGCTATTTGAGATAGTATCTGGTAGAAGAAATTCAAAATTGGCTGAAGAAGGGAGCATCAGGTATTTTCCCGTTCAAGCTGCCAGCAAAGTCATCACAGGGGAAGTTCTTAGCCTGCTAGATGAGGATTTGAATGGTTCTGCTGATGCATTGGAGCTGAATAGAGTATGTAGAGTTGCATGCTGGTGCATTCAAGAGTTTGAGGCTGATAGGCCATCGATGGCTGAAGTTGTCAAAATCTTGGAAGGGGTTTTAGATTTGAAGATACCTCCGTTTCCTACAATTCTTCAACGTCTTGCTGAGGAGGTTTCCACGGTTAGTTACTATGAGTAGTCACTAGTCACTTGAGATGTGCTTTCTTGTGTTGAAAAGGGTCTCATTAGTGCTAAGGTAGATATCATATTTTTCATGTTAGTAGTTGGAAATTAGAAATATATATTGACTTCATGTTTTTAAGCAATCTCCAATATGTCCTATATCCGAATTAAGGTGCAGACAAGGAAAGGCAGGCTTGCATATGGTTGTTTTCTTCTTTAGGAAATGATTTGTAGGTTATAACTATATAAATATTTTGAATGAGTCTTCTCTTGGTTCTTGCTCCATGGCCGAATTCTAATTACTTATATTTCTATTGGGATGATGTGCCTCTCCTTTTCCTCTCATCTTATGTTCCTATAAGTAGAACTCAATATTAGCCTTGAAGGATCCAAATTCTAAGTATCAATTTCAGTCTTTATGCAGCTAAGGTACATGTGAATAGCATTTAGCATGTAACCATCAAATAAAAACTTTGTATTTCATTGAACATCCTCAATGGAAAATTTTAGGCTGAAGTATGATACATCAAACTATGCTAAAATGGATTTATTCATGCAAAATGCACATAATTCTATCTTTAATTGTGTCAGA